AATACTCTATATGATCCTACAATGATGAACACATGTCATTATGCATTTGTCCCAAACCACAGAATGCATACCACCAAGAATGAACTCTGGTGTCAACTATGGGCTCTGGGTACTCGTGGTGTGTCAGTGCAGGTCCATCAGCTGCAACCCATGCGCCCTCGGCTGGGGATGTGGATAACGGGGGAGGTTACTTCATGGAGACTTCCAGACACACACATACTACTTCCAGGCCATGGGCCACCTGCCTGCCCGTCCTTCTCCATCCCAGACCCCGTGGACCACTCTCTCAGCAGTAGCCTCCACTCCTCATCAGCACCCGCACCACTGTCTTACACCTGGTGGGACCCAGCACTGGCCTGAGACCTCTCTCCACCTTCTCCATCCTGCCTCCTCAGTCCCCAGGCAAGCTGAGGGCTGCCAGGTAGATCAGCCGCCAGGTGGAACGGCGACCAGGTAGACAAGGACTACTATAAGCTCAAGGGCTCCCACCACAAGAGGGCGTCATTTCCACCCTGAACTCCACTCTGAGCCGGAGACCCAGGACAGGCATTCTCAACACCATCATGTGTTGAAGCCAAGGGGAGAGCTGGCTCTAATGCCAGGTCCCTCGAATGTGATTGTCCTGAACATGGCCTGGGCATCAGGATTTTTAAAGCTCCCCAGGTGACTCTAAAAGGCGTGCTGTCCACACAGGGGAATACTACTCCGCAGGACAAAGACACCAACTACTCCTATGTGCCACATCATCATGAACGGCAAAAGCACTGGCTGACTGAAAGAAGCCAGGCACAAAAGACACTATGCTATATATTAATAATTCCATTTATATGAAATTTCCATGAAAGACAAAACTAAACCTGGGGCTGGGGGGCTGGACCGACTACAGATGGACACGAGGGAGTTTTTGGAGTCCTTGGGCGTGTGCTAAACTGGACTGTGGCCATGGCTGCACACCCGTGTATGTTCATTAACAATAACTGAGCTGTATACTAACAGTGTGCACACTGTATGGTACATAGTTCAATAAAGCTGCTAAAAGTGAAGAAAAGAAAAAAAATCCAGCTTAGGGAATTTAAATTTTATTTTGTATTAAAACAAAGCAAAACCAAAATTCCCTGGTGACTCTACTGAGCAGCCAGAGTTGGGGATCCCCTGCAGGAAGCCTGGCCCTGCCTCACCCCAAGGCCAGTACGGCGGATCTCTGTCCTGCAGTAGCACAGGGCCCGGCTCAGCCTGCGCACACAGGGGCCACCGCATTACTCTCCGAGTGGACGGATGGCCCGTAGTGAGCACCTAGCATGCAGAGGCCTTATGTTTTCTCATCTAACCATCTCAGCGCCTGCGAAGAGGAATATGTATCCCCACTTTACCAAAGGGGAAACCAGATCTTTGTGAGACCTAAAGTCACACAGCCATCGATTAGCAAAGATGGGCTTAGAGATCAGTCCACCTGGTCCTTCCTTCCTTCTTTCATCTCCTTTTAAATCTTTGACTCAGAGAGGGCACAGCTGCAGCAAGCTCAGTCTTTTCAGCCACTGATTCTCTCCATGGATCCCTTGTTGTCCCAGCAGCTGCTTCAGATCTGATAGGTCCCAGAATCAGCAAAGTAAAGTGAATTGCCTGTGGTCACACAGCCCTCGCTTGGCCAAACTGAGCCTAGAGATCGGCTCATCTGATCCAACTCCTGAGCAGCCTGTGGGTCAGTGTGTGCTGACCTTGAATCTCAGAGGTTAGGGGCTCAAAGAAGCAGCTGGTCCCAAGGTGGGGTGGCCTTCAGCCTTCTACCCCTTCCAAAGTCCTAACGCCACAGTCATAAGTGCTGTGGGATTATGGCACCGCCACCACTACTTCCAACTTCAGGATTGCTTTCACTTGACATTCCTTCCAGCGCACCAGTCCGGAACAGAAGTGCTTGACGCTGCTGATCGACCAGTTTCATAAAAGGAATCCAGTTTCCTTTGCACTCACGAAAAGCTGTTAGCCCCTGGCGAGTTTCCAGGGCCTGCACTCCAGCGCTGCAGTCCAGACATCAGGAGAGGGATGCCAAAGCCCTTGGGCACAGAGAGGAGTCAGCTGGGCTGAGAGATTTAAATCAGGAGGGGTCCTTGCCAGCAATACCACCAAGCAACATCCTGTCCTCGGGAACAGAGGTTTCCCGCTGAGATGCCCTGAAACCCCGGCGGAGGGCCCTACCACAGCTGTGCAGGGATGCAGATGTGGCATCAAACTGTCCATACCTGATCCCAGTGAGGACGGTATATTAGAGATAACACTGGCCAACGGTCCAGAGGGTCAGGCTTCCAGCCCTGGATAGGCTCTTCACCAGCATGTGTCCTGGGGCACGAAGCCATCCACCCTCTGCAAACCTCAGTTTCCTCTTCTGCAAAATGGGAACCATCACCCCTCCCTACAGGGAGGCTGGCTGTGATAGTGTTTGGGAACATATAAAGCACTCAAATAATGTCAGGGCTGATAAATTATCCTCTTTAGACCAAGTCTGGTGGGAATTTCAGAGGCTACATGCAGGTAGTTCCCATGTGACTCCAGGAAGTTATGGACAGAAAAAAGGAGGGAGGGGAAGTCTGAACTAGGAGTCAGGGCCCCAGAATTCAGTCCTGACTTTTCTGTGAACAATATTTCATGACTTCAGAGGAGCTCTGCAACCCTGAACTTTGTCCCTTCCCCTCTCTGGGCCTCAGTTTCCCCTTCTACAAAATGAGTTTAGGGGAGGTGTCTCTAATGGCCCTTCAGGCTCTGACAGCCAAAGATGCTATTAGAAAAAAGCAGTTCCCTCCAAACTGCTGCAGGGTCCAGTGTTAATGGGGCCATGGGACTGGCCCTCCCCATGCTCCACCATCAACCTGTTTCACACTCACTTTAGAACATTTATCACTGCTCTCTAAAGGGCGGGCTTCCAGCAAAAGCCTCTTCAGTGTTGGCAATGAGTCACTCCCACTGGAGGTCAAGTTCCCTTTGTGCCTCCTCCGAGGGGCTGAGAAACAGAGAGGTGGGAACATGAGGAGCAGTCTTGCCTGGGAAAAGTTTGCCTTGTTTGCACAACCATGGACTGTGGGGCCAAACACTTCCACCCTCCAAGCACCTCCAAAAACAGCCCTCTCTGTGTGTGAGCTTCATAGTTTACAAAGCTCTTACTCATTGGAATTTGGCAAAAAAAAAAAAACAAAAAAACTGCAGGGAAGCATGCAAAGGGTTATTGGAGTTTATAGGGGAGGAAATGGAACTCAGAGAAGCGAGGTGACTCCTCCGTCATCACACAGCCAATGTATGAAGTGGTCTCTCCATCCCATGGGAGACACGGGAACAAGAGCCTTGGAAAGCTAAGTGCAGAGCTGGAGGGGAAACCAAGTCTGTCGATTCCCTGCCCTGCTCTATCCCCACCTTTCTCGCCGCCCCTGCCCAGCCTGGCAGAGGGTGTGTGTCCTCCCCTACCTCTCCCGTGAGGTTTGCCTGCACACCTGACCCACACGTGGAATTGCCCACACAGCCAGCAGTGTGAAGCTCTAAGCACACCTGATTTGTCTTGTGTTTTTGGAAGCTACTAGTATCGAGAGCACAGAGACACACAGGAGACACAAAGCAAATGGGGGAAAAAAGGCAAGAGGCCACTTTGCACCCATCTGAGTGGGGATAATCTTTTAAAAATTTGTTAGTAAGAATATGTAGAAACAGGAATTGTCAAAAGCCATTGGTGGGACTAGAAATTGAAACAGACTTTTTGGAGGTCAATTCCTCTCAAAATTTTAAGTGGCACTTCTAGAAATCTATCGTCAGGATGCACATTTAGGCATGAAAGTGTTGGCTATGATATTGAAAAGCTGCTAACATCCAGAGGAAGTCATGATACCCCCATTTGACAAAGCACCCCGTCCCGTTAAAACTTGGAGTCAATCAAGGTCTCTAAGATCTGTTGTAAAGTAAAAAAAGCAAAATATATACCGTGTTTCCCCAAAAATAAGACCTACCCATAAAATAAGCCCTAGCAGGATTTCTAAGCATTTGGGCAATATAAGCCCTACCCCAAAAATAAGGCTTAGTGATGGGCGTGGCTACGTAGCATATCTGCACAACCCAGGCATTTCGTCGTGGAGCACTAAAAGGTAAAGACGACGAGTAGCCCTTCTCATCTGCCCCATCATGACAGCTACTATCCCAGAGGTGACTGGAAAGGTGCGGGCAGCCCCACCAACAAGGTTGGCTCCCGCTGTCAGGTCCCGGCCATCCTGTGCGTGCTGCACGCTGAGGCTGTGAGGGGAAAATAAGACACCCCCTGAAAATAAGCCCTAGGTGTCTTCTTGAGGAAAAATAAATATAAGACCCTGTCTTATTTTCGGGGAAACACAGTAGTATGAAGTCATTTGGGTTTAAAACAAATACAGTGAAAAAGTTTTAGGCAGAAGAACACCCACTGTAAGCAATGGTTACCTTTCAGAGAGAAAGTGGGATTTAGGGAAGTTGGGACAAAGCAACACTTTTATGCTATATATATTTAGGCTTTTTCTTTTTTTCTTTTTGCAAAAAAAAAAAAAAAAAACAACCCACAAAACAACTCCACCATGTGTATCAGTGTATGCTTATAAGCCAAGCCAGCAGTTCCCTGGAACGTTCCTCAGGGGAGAATATCTTTTGGTAGTCAGTACTTTATGATTTTAGATGGTCACTGCAGGATCAGTAACAAGAACAGCAAACTGACAGGGGCACTGAGGGAGTGAGCCACACAACGCAGCTCAAAGAAACAGAATTAGAGACAGGGAAGGTTCACTCCTGAGCCGCCTACGATGGAGGTTTGCACCAATCCCCACACAAATTCCTCAGCTCCCAGCTCTATCTTGTCAATGGCGGAACAGCCCTGATCTTGCTCATAAACTCGTGCTTAAAAGCCCCGTGATATTATGCACCCCCGATCACGCCACATTGCCCCTTGCTGGGAGATGACAGCGGCCAGCAGTAAGCGAGACCACGTCCACGCGGGCGGAGCGTACCTCGGAGAACCTCTGCACGTCTTGCGTCAGCGTGCCCACGCGCTTCCACTGGTAGTGCTTGAGCAGCTTGAGGATGGCTGGGTTCACCGCATTATCTGATGGGACAGTCCGAAAGAAATAAGGATATTTTTTCTTATCAGCTAGCACAGGCGTGGTTGCAGCAAAGGAAAGCTGAAAGACATAAGAGAGACAACGCTGAGTGAGCATCACATCTGTGAGCCGGCGCCTTGCTTAACGGAACAGAGGAACACAAACACATGGGGCAAGACAGTCTTTAAACCTTTTTATTGTAAAAGGAACACATCATAATTGAGGAGAGGGTAAAATGCAAAATAAGGAGACAGAATGAAAAACCTAATCAATGATCCACCCCTCCCCAAAGAATCACCATTAATATTAATATGATATGATAGTCTATTTCCTTGAAGTGTTTTTCTATGCTTGGTGACTGCATTTTTAAAAAAAGAGTCTTGATTTCATTCTACATACACAATTGAACTGTTTATTCCCCACATAACATTACTCTAAAGCATTTAACCATCCTGTTAAAACTCCTTGTAAACATTTGAATAGCTGCATAATACTTCCACATATGAACATTCCACAATTTACTGGGTCATCTCTAATTTGGGGACATTTAGATTGTTTCTAATTTGTCATTATTGTCATATTATTAATATTCTACAGGCATCTCTGTGCACAGCATTTTCCCCTATATTTCCATAGGAGTCTGTGATATGAAATTTCTCAGATAATGAATCTTAGCCTTTAAAGACTTAATACTTATTTCCAGAAAGGACTTTTTACCAATCTGTACATCTCCTAACCAGGTATAATTAGAGGGCCAATTTCCCCACATTCCCATCAATAGAGAGAATAAAATATCTTCTCTGTTTTTATAATGATTTGTCACTTTAAAAAAAAGGAATTATATTGCATTCATAGTTATACACAATATTGCATCTTTTTCCATGCGGTCATCGCTATCTATTAGTATGTCCTATTTTAGCAGTTACTTTTTCATGTTGTTTATTTTTTGAGAAGTATTCTAATGCTTTTCTTATTGAATATAATGAATGTTTCTTATATGTATAGCATTCAAATTCAAGCTATTATAGTTGCCACAAATACCTCAGTGTGTTTGCCTTTATATTTTGTGTGTATTTTAATTTACACTCAGTAGTCAAATCTGTCCATCTTTCTCTGTATTATTTCTTCTTTTTCTTTTAACTGCCAGTAAGTTGTTAAATTGAATTTTAATTATCTGTCCTACAAGGCCCAGCTTAAATGTCACCTCCTCCACAATTTCCTCTGATCTCCACTATCCTTTTCCTCAGCCTCACCCACAGAAAGTGGTTATCAAATGTTTTGATCTTTGCAGTGTGATGGGGAAAAATAGTATCTTGCTGCAGCTCTAATTTGCATTTATCTTACTTCGAGTGAAGTGGAGTATCTCCTCCTATGTTTAAGAGCAATTGGTAGCTCCTTTCTGGAAACTGTCCACCTCTTTGTCCGTTTGCCAGTTTGACTCTTAGTCTTCTTCAGAGTTTGTAGAAGTGATCTTTTATATTAAGGAATTTAGCCCTTTGTGGTAGAAGTTGCTAATTATTCCCCCAGTTTGTAGTTTGTCTTTGAATTGGTTTATGGTGCCCTTTGCCATGTAGAAGTGTGTTTTTTAAATGTGGTTGAATTTATCAATTTTTTCTTTTATGACTTCAGGTTTTGAGTTGTATTTAGAAAGGCTGTTTTTATATTGAGATTATAAAGAATTCCTCCATTGTTTCTTCTAGTCTGTCTGTCTTTTCTTTCTCCCTCTTTCTCTTCCATCTTACTTCCCTCCCTTCTTATGTCTTTTAAATCTTTGATCCAGAGAGGGTGTGGCTGAAGTAAGCCACACCCTCTGTCTCCCCAACCCTTGCTGCCACCAGCTGTCTCCCCAAATCCTTGCTTGTCCCAGCAGCAGCTCTAGATTTGATATATCCCAGGGTCTGACTGAAGCATCCAGAAAAATAACATCCTGGCCCCCTCAGGCTCCAGTTGAAGATAACTTACCGCTTCTTCTAGCACCATAGGAAGCACTTTCTTTTCCCACTGAGACTTGGAGAAGGCAGTAGGGATTTCCCTGGTCTGGTTTAGAGAATAGACAGTCACTACCTAGGGTCCCTGATCTTCTGTTAGAGCTGACCACCAGCAGTCCACCAGCTGCTACCTGGAGCTAGAAAGCACCTACAGAAACCAATTTCTAAGATCTCTATGAAGACAAGGATACCCCAAGTCTGGTAAGGGTCAAGGGTAGAATGACTGTTCTTAAGATTCTTGATAGAATAGAACCAATGGAAAGAATCTATAGAGAGGAAAATTTCAGCTGGACATATTGAGGAACACTCCATTCAGAGGAGTCCAGCAATGGAAAGCCTGCCATTAGAAGTAGTGAGATCCCTGTGTCTGGAGGTGTGCAAATGGAGGCTAGATCAAAACCTAGTGAGAACAGAGAGGCTTCAAGGTATCTGTGAACCCCCTGAAAACTGTAGAGAAAGGTTTGCATGGGCATGTATATGCATACAGGCATGCATATTTTTCTAAATAAAGAATCCATGGCTGCCATCAGATTCACAAGGAGGACCCTACCATCCAAATAAAGGCTGCACACCTGCCTGCAGGTAATACCTGGTCTCACAGTAAGTGAAAGAAATGAAAGCTCCCAATAGTCCCCTCAGACCCAGTGTCCATGATCCTTCTCTCAAGATTAAAACAACACTGCAAGGCTCATCAGTGTAAGAAGGAACTATTAGAAAAATCTGGGAGCAACTATTTCAGGACCTGGGACATTATATATGCCATCACATCCCCAAAAATGCTTATCTAATACAATTTAGAAAATATTGGTTTTCTGATGTGATTTCTGAATCACACTCCAGTTGCTACTTTACCGTTATTGTTCCATTAGTTCCAGGTCCACAATTAATTGTTGCTTGAACAACCTCATATGTTTGCCCTGTAGGTAATTACAGTGGTTACTGTTCAGTGAATAAATGGCCCATTGTGTTTACAATGGGCTTGGAGTACGATATATGCCCCAGGTCTAAATCATGTTGGGTACAAAATATTAACTGGCACTGACATTTTCTGCACCATTTGAGATAATGCACACTTTGATTAGATTGCTTTGCATCACTGTTTGCCTGGCTTTAGCCTCCTAAAACTTTTTTCCATGGGCAAAGACTGCAGGTGCCCAATAGTACTGCTGAACTTCAGAACTGGGGGAGAATCTGAGAAATCATCTAACTCTGGGGTGCTCTACCCTGGCTGCACACTGGGATCATTTGGGGAGATTTTTTAAAGATACCGATGACTATAAGAATACCAGAATCTCAGGGCATACAGCCCAAGCATCAGTACTGTTTAAAAACTTTCCAAGTGGTTATGATGCTCGGTGAGGGTTGAAAAACACTGACACAGCTCAATACCCCTGGTTTTGAATAAGCAGACTGAAGGCCAGAAATGGGGAGATATGGAGATAGCCACCATCGTTAAAGGACTCTAACACCAGCGCTCCTTCTCCCTCTGATGGCTGCCACCTGCCTCCTGTGCGCTCCCCAGCCCCTCCCCGCCCAGCACAGGCCCCAGCATCTGGCAACACTGGGGCTGCCAGCTGCAGGGCCCTAACTTGGACAGCAAACTTTCTGGGCTCTCTTGCTTTATTTCACACAACCACGTTCATTTCTGAACAGACTGTGATTTGAGGCTTCCAGTCAATTCCTAAGCAAGGATTTATTTCAGAGAGTAATTTAAAATTTAATTTATAGCTTTGTTATTGTTTCTAGTTTTAGTGCATTATTTTGAGCATTTGGTGTACATCGTGTCTGCTTTTGGAATTTATTGAGATTTTCTTTGTGGCCTGTGATTCAATCAACTTTTGTAAAAGATCTACAGTGGCTGGGGAAAAAAAAATGAAATCTCTAGTTGTAAGCTGTAGAGTTCTTTACTAGACTACTCATGCATAATAGATAAATCAAATGAATTATATGATTATGATATGCTTCATATCTTCATTTACTTTACCTATCAAAGGCTGAGAGGTTGGTGAAATTGTTCTCTATCTCTATGACCATGACACTTCTCCATGTGTTTAGACAGTATTTGCTTTATATGATTTGATTTTATGTTTTGAACATAAATGTTCATCACAATTACATCTTTATTTTTCAGCAATGTATACCTTTGCCTAGTGCAAATGGCAGGCACTTAATAGATATTCATTGAGTGAATTGAGGATTGAAATATTTATCAAGGTAAAATAAACCTCTTTGTCATTTTATTGGTTTTTTGTTTTAGACTTTATCTTGCTTGATATTAATATTGCAACCCCGACTTTATTTTTGCCTGCATTTGCCTGGCATAGCTTTGATCCTCTTTTATTTGTATTCTATTAGGATTGCTTTAAAACATATTTCTTGAAAAGAGCATATGGGCAGATTTTAAAATGTGTATGTTTACTTCTGTAATAAAGTAAATATTTACTTTATTTACTGGGGCTGGCAGCCCCAGTGTTGCCAGATGCTGGGGCCTGTGCTGGGCGGGGAGGGGCTGGGGAGCGCACAGGAGGCAGGTGGCAGCCATCAGAGGGAGAAGGAGCGCTGGTGTTAGAGTCCTTTAACGATGGTGGCTATCTCCATATCTCCCCATTTCTGGCCTTCAGTCTGCTTATTCAAAACCAGGGATGTTGAGCTGTGTCAGTGGTTTTCAGCCCTCACCGAGATGCACTACTTAGTCTTGCATCTATCCTCTTCTTGGCTGTCTTACTGCTTTTCAATGCTTCCTTTTTGTGCCCATTGGTCCTCAACTTCACAGCTAACTTTCTCTGCTCTGGCTGTGCGAGTTCATCTTGCTTCAGGTGTCAGCTTGCTGGAGAACCTTTGGATATTCTGAAGAGCAGTAAAGGGTTGCAGATTTCCTGAAGTTGGCTCTGTGCTGCCTTGACACGTGGCAGAATTTGGCTGGGTATAAAATTCTTGGGCTACCACTTCTCCCCTTTGAAACTACAAAATGATGCACAGGAGAAATCTGGGGCTAGCTTGATTGTTGTTCATTTGTAGGTATCTGCTTTCCTCTGCCTGGATAGCTGAAGGATTTTTTTCTTCTTTATTCTTGAAAAAGATAGATCTGGGTGT